ATCTATCATAAGAAAACGACGGCATTCAGTTTCCAGAAAAAGTGTCAATGCAGCAAATCATGGTGACAGTGTTTGCTCAAAAGAAATTAGCAATAACTCCAGAAACATCCCCCACTTGCTAGGTCTAAGTCCATGTGGTAAAACTAATTCCAGTAGCATGGTTCATTCTCCTCCAAGGTCTCAGAAGTTTGGGGATTCTGCTGTCATGAAGTCTGTAGAAAAACGCTTGGAACATGCATTTGATGTTGAATGGGATTCGGCCAGCGCCGTATCTAGGACCTTATCTCCATGAAGAGTGTCTTATCAGAATATTTTGTGCTCCATCATCAGACAGCCTTTAACTTCATGATATGTTCAGTGAGTATCACTTCTGCCAACTGTTTACATGGTATATGCTTTCAAACGTCTTAAACAAATTAAAAGAAATTGTATTTTTCAGCACTACTAAAGCTAGTTTCCTTGGGTGTGTAGGAACATGTCATGTTGGATTCTGAATGGGGTAAAATTGCAAAGAGCAGTCGTTAGCATATGCATGCAGTTTTCTAGAGAGTGATGCTGTTTATTAGATAGGTAGGTTCTGTTTTCTTGTTTGTAAGGAGGCATTACTTAGATCTTAATTGTTACAGAAAACAGTAAAAAGTAGATTACGATACTATACGGAACATGCCAGTTGATCCAGGAAGTTGCAGAGTGTCAATTTGTCTTTTAAGGACAGCAATTAACTCATCTTTGGCTTCATTTGGTTTGAAGGAGAGGTAGATGAGGAGATGACTTTAAAACCCTTTTGCTAGCTCCTTGTTCTTTTTCCTTCTATAGCTTTTCATTGGTATAAATTGCGAATGTGACTGAATTTGAGTATCTGCACATTTGAGATAAATCGAACATCATCTTTTCTGAATCATAGGGAAAATCATCCAAAGATGAGAAGAGAAGAAAAAAAAAAATTATTGGTTTGCAGCATCAAATAGGGCTGTTTTTCTTCACATGCTGCTTTGCAGTTGTATGAACTTCTATGCATCGAAATTGCAAGACTATTTAACTTTATTTTTATCTTTGATCTTTAAATTTGCTTATCCTTTTCCTTTCTGCCCTAACCTCCTCATTTTCTCTGTCTTGCAGATCAATCATCATTTTGCAGCCAACTATTTGACAGCACAAGTGCCCCTTCCGCAATGGAGGACTTGAATTATAAATATACCACATTCTCTTTTAACGACTGACGTTAAAAATATGTTCGTAGTGGCCACTAGTTCAAGGTTTTGGGGGACTGTGAAGCTAATTAGCCCAGTAAAAAATGCTGATATTTTTATTATCTGTCAACATAATGCATTTTTCTTTTGTTTCACTTTGGTATAATGTTATGGACTTGGCTGGTTCATGTGTGCAAAGAGTGAAGTTGAGCTTGATATCTTTCACTTTTTGCAAGTTTGTAGACCTCAACATCTACAAGAACATATAAACGAAGTTTAAAGCTTCTGTGGCCTTTTGCTTCATACAAAATTTGATTCTGAAAAAGTTCTTGGAATTACGGAAGTAGTGAGGGAGAGTAGGAAAATGAGCTATGACTAAAATCGATAAATTTTGCCTAATATAACAAAAAATAAAACAAAATTGGGTTTGAAATAAATACATATGCATATTCTAACATTGTTGAACTCCCAACCCAAAAAAAAAGGTTTTATATTATATTCTTGTTCAAGGAAGAAAAAATATAAGACTCAAACTTTTACTGTATGTACGGTATGTATGGATACGAGTATTCTACCATTAAAATTATAACATACAAAAAAATAATAATAATAATAAATTGTCAACTAGATTCTAATTAGAAATTTGGTTTGCGATTTGTCTCCTCCAATATTCACAGTCAATTCTTCCTGTTATGAAAATAAGAAGCCAAAAAGAAACAGTAAAAAAAATCACCCTTTGCCCACATAAGAACAAATAAATAAATAAATATATTAAAGCAGTTTGTTCCACAGAGAAAGGACCAAAGAGTGTTAGAATATTTAGCGGGTGACACATACGGCATAGACGCCTTTGATTTTGAGACGTTAAAGAAGAAGACAAAGATGGCCAAACCCTCCATTGATATCCCAGAGAGCTTCGCTTCCACAGCTAAAATTTCAGGGGCCATTTCTCAGAAAGACGTAAACAATGTGCTGCTTTTTCTCATAGGCGTGGGGGTCTCAGGCCATGTCCCAGATCAATTCGATGCTAAAAAAGATTCCTACTCTGACCTCGTTCGTGACCTCCTTGAGCCCCTACACATCTCACGCGGCCATGTCACCTGCCTTGTCTCTGTGAAACCTGCTGTTATTGTAATCTATCTTTCCCTGCTTCTTCTCTCAGCTCTTTGTTTTCTCAATTTGTGCTTTTCATTTCTTCTGTTTGGTTGCTGAGAAAAATTAGAAATGGGTTGTTTCTGCGCCAAAAGTGGGAAATTTTGAGGAAGGGAATAGGACCCTTTTTGGGTTGGCTTCAATTGAATTCAATTTTGATCGTTTCTTAATCGGGACTAAACGGAGCTGTAGCCTGCTTGGCTTAGTCCCATCGTATTAGCTTGTCTGGTTAAGACTTTCATCTTATGCAAGGCAAAGCAAGATACTTTTTTAGACCCAATTTCAAAAGTTATTAACTTTGTTAACAAATTACCACCCATTTGCTCACTGATGTTCAACTTGTATTTGAATTGAGCTATGTTCCAATTGTTCTTTTATTTCTGACTAAAGAAAAGTCTGGTGAACTTCAGGTTAATTTTCTATTTGTCTTGGAAATCTAACAAATGTAATGATGTTTTGGTCATGAATCTGCAGAATTTTTATGCAGGATTTCATGGGGGAGCTATTGCTGCTGTTGCTGAGGCTATATCCATAGCTTGTGCTAGAACACTTGTGGCTAAGGATAAGGAGATTTTTCTAGGGGAACTAAGCATCTCTTACCTCGCCAGCGCAAAAAAGAATGTGAGTCCTTCAGAATTAGACTTGTCTCCTTTAACTGTTGTTTTATCAAGTTTGATGCAGATGGAAACAAATATATTGAATGAAATGATATCAATTCCCATAAACTGTACTAAAGATTGTTTAGCTGTCTTCTTTGGACATTGAATAGTATTCTAAGACATTCTGAACGATATTGAATGACTGAAGAAAAAACTTAGGATTTAGGATTTTGTTGGCACTTAAAATTTGTAATTTGTGGACTGTGATTGTACCTTCCACTTTAGGTGATGGCACTTACGAGGGATTTGTACCTCTCTGTGCTCAAGGGTCTGCTTTTCTTGCCTCTTGCACACAAGATGTATACTTCATGTACTTGGGTCATTTCCTCTTCTTGTTAATAAACTTGATTACTAATCAAAAAATAGATTGCTCGCTTTTCTTCGAAACCATTTTCTTAAGATGCCAGTATGGAATTGCTTTACCACAGAATTTGATACAAACTGAAATTGGCCAAAATATGTAACATACAGGCTGAGCTAAGTTTCTGAACGTTGCAGTATATTCGAAGCCTTATTATCCTCGAGTGAATTAGGCTGGTAGTAGTTTTGAACCCCAAAAGCTCTTTTTTACACAATAATGGCCCTTGCATCTTTGTTACAATGCTTTCAGACTTTGACAAATATGTCCATAAATTAAACAGATATTCAATTTGTCATTAAATATCGGTTAGGAATTTTTCATGTAGTGGCCATTGACCAAAAAAAAATATTTCATGTAGCGTCCAGACTGAAGTTTCATATTAAGGTGGGATAAGCTAAATGGCAATTCGGCATCGACCATGACATCAGAAGAGAAATATTTATACTTTTCCCAGTGTTTTAATCCGAATGATTTCGAGTATTACATAGTTTCACGCTCTTGATTGTATATAATTTGCATGGTTCACATTATTCATTTCTTTTTTTTCACTTTGCAATGGGACTTACTTACAGGCAGAGGTGATAGTTGATGCATCTGTTGTGCGAAGTGGAAGAAATCTGAGTGTGATAGCGCTAGAGTTCAAGCTCAAGAAAACTGGGGACTTGATTTACACAGCTCGTGCCACCTTCTATCACATGCCTGCTGCGAAATTATAGATTTGGACCTTAAATGTTTCTGTATTTAGGTCCACGTTCTATGGCACATCTTATTATCATTTTTTTGTGACTGCCACTCACTGGCTCGATATATTATGACAATATGTATAGTCACTTTGAAATAAGCCTTCAATAAGAATTGTGCATCTCATCTCATCTCGTCATTATCGGTTTAACAACTGAAAAACAGGTCCTTATTCAATGACCTTATTAGAAAATAGTTCCTAAAGTTGGATTCCAACCCGCTCGCTCCACTAGTATGAGTCAAAATTTTCTTGAGGTCTCTATAAGTTCGTCTCAAAAGATGGTATTTATTTTTTAGCTGGCCAACGCTTTAAGGTAACCAGTCCTAGTATGAAGTTCGATTATCATAGTTGCCAACTAGTTTTGGAAAATATTGTTGTTGATCGGTTGCCCTTTGAAATCTCCTCATCCATCAAATCGATAAAAATAAGGGAGTTTCACTAAAACACCCAAAATAGGGGCTTAAATTATAAAAAAACCCAAGCACTATTTAAACATATAAACATACCCAAAACCCATCATTACACACACTCAAAATCCATTTATAAACACACCCAAAAAGTTGACTTTATGGGTTGATTTTGGGTGTGTTTCTATGTTTAAATAGTGCTTGGGTTTTTCTATAAATACATGTCTAGGATTGAGTTTATTTATAAATTTGTAACCTCATTGTTTTCAGGCCATGGCCCATCTTTTCCCTTCTCATCAACTTCCACAACATCATCTTCATCAGAAAAAAGTTCCTTGACCTTTTTAACATCTAGACAACAGAGCATAACATAACAAATTAATTATATAGAAAATAAATAATGGAGGAGTAATTGTGGCTGGCAACTTGAAACTCATTGCTCAAAATGCATTTAGCAAGGAAAACGACATATCACACACTTGTCGGTGGTTACATGATTTCGATTGTGTTCTCCATGAGACGCGAGAAATGTTGAAACACTTTTAATTCAAGTGCAGAGCAAGCCATCAATTCAATCATAGATTTCTTACCTTTGATGAAAGCCCAGTGAGATCTGATCATCTGAGAGTGAGAAGAGGATATGAGCGGGGACTGAGGCAGTGAGATCGAGAAAGGATGGAGGACGGCGGAAAGAGTTGAGAGGATGGATGATGTTGGCACGTAAAAGTTTGGGTTGTAAATTCTGAATGATTTCTGTTACCGCATGGTTTACAAAGTTTATTGTATATAGTTTACATTACATTAGCCACATTATTTATCTATTTATTTTATTTTTCTCGTCTTTTTGCAACAAAACTCGCTTATAGGCAGGGGTGATAGTTGATGGTTCTGTAGCGAGGAGTGGAAGAAATCTCACTGCGATAGCAATTGAGTTCAAATTCAAACTCACGAAAACTTGGAAGTTGGCTTACACTGCTAGTGCTAATCTTCTACCACATGCCCGTTGCCAAAGTATGAATCTGGAGATTAAGAACTTTTCTGTAACTCAATTATGATATAATATAGGAAATGAGTTACTCAAGTAGAAACCCTAAACTTGTTGCCAGCGAAATAACTTACACTCAATGAAACCATTGGAAAGAAGCAAAGATGCAGGGATATTACACTCAAATGCGTTGGAGACTCCAATAAGTTTTTCCCTGAAAAAAAAATTAAAAGGACAAGAAGAATCCGTTCAATTAATCAATTGGAGTTGAAATTGTCTCTCTATCAGTGCCGTGTGAAGGGTTAGAACCACGCTTCAATCCTACACAGCAGCAACCGCCCTGCAGCTCAAGGCTTCACAACTTTGCATCAATTCTAGTTGAGTTTCATCTAACAGCAGCAATATGATACCGGAAAGTAAAATTGCCATATGAGCAGTATGCCAGTAATATCCTGATCATCTGAAGATTCAATGTGTGGTTCGACGTGTGAAGTTTCATCCTGACCGCATTTTCCCCAATCAAATTAAGTAGTTGCTTATATGGCTGGACAAGGACCCGCCGCCAGCACACGCAGATTTAGGGGATTATCTAATTCTCTACAGGGCGAGAAAAGCATCTGATAAAAATCCCTAACATCTGGGATCAGAAGAACATAGTCAATTGATGTGACACTCACCATCCTTTAGGGTTACGAAAATATGGCATTAACAAAGGCCTCTGCATCAAAGGGTTGGAGGTCTTCTACACCTTCACCAACACCCACAAACTTTACAGGGATGCCAAGTTCATTTACCACACTGACCTAAAATAAAATAAGATACAATCTTAGGATTAGTGAATTATTTGAAAAGAAAAGAAGAAGATTTGAGAATTAAGTCTTGGAATAGCAGAAGCTATGCCAATATATCAATTCATGAATAAATTGAAAATGATATGGAACAGAAGACTTGAACCTACCACGCAGCCACCTCTAGCAGAGCCATCAAGTTTTGTCAATATCAAACCAGTTATCCCAACAATCTGTCACAATATTTATAATGTAAAGAATCAACACACTAACAAATTTATTGTGGAGAAACAAATTGCACAAAGAAACAGAATCAATCAATAATCTATGTTCTGACAAAAGTAGAATAATCCAGGAGGTGAAGGATAAGAACATTACCTCATTGAATTCTCTTGCTTGCGGAAGCATGTTTAAACCTGTCGTCCCATCCAGAACTTGTAGGATCTCCTGCATATTTTTAAAAGAAAAATATTAGGCAAACAAAAGATGGTCTCACAAGACAAAATGTAAGAATTTGGAAGAGTTACTAAATATCTCAACTAACATGATCAAAGAGAGAGACCTAAATATTTTAAGCTACTCTTTGCAATCTTCAATGATCATTAAAAAAAATACAAATTTATAAATAAACTCAATCCTAGACATGTATTTATAAAAAAACCCAAACACTATTTAAACATAGAAACACACCCAAAATCAACAATTGTATTTTTTTGGGTGTGTTTATAAATGGGTTTTGAGTGTGTGTAATGATGGGTTTTGGGTGTGTTTATAAAGTGTTTTGGGTATTGGGTTTTTTTATAATTTCAACCCCTATTTTGGGTGTTTTAGTGAAACTCCCTAAAAAAAAATGGTAGTGGCAGGCATGAATAGACTGATTTACAAATCAAAGAATTGAAAGAACCAGGTGCCATTGTGTCACAATAGCATAAAATGGAGCATTTGAAATATGGAAGTATAGATTTAATGCATAGAAGTAATGACGATGCATGAGAAGATAACAGTGAAGCATATGGCACATAAGTTCCCAACTTTCTACTCTCTTAACAATATGATCCTTTCATAAAGCATACAGTCAAATATCACCACTAACCGAAAGGCTTTAGAGCATGACATTATCAAAGAACATAGTCTACTCAGAATTATTCTGTTCAATGGGTACTGTGCATTCCCATCCTTAGATTGGCGAATTTGATAATAGAAAGATCACAAAAAGCGTCCAACAGCTTACATTAGGAGCGCCAGGAATGACTTTGCTCACAGCTTTCTTACATGCAATCAACTCTTCCATCAGGCCGTAATTAGTGTGCAGACCTAAAATTATAAACAAAAGGTCCAACTACAAATTAATCAGCTAAGCTTATAATGTTAACAGCTAAGCCCGGAAGGTTTTCCAACAAACTTACGTCCAGAGGTGTCACATAAGACAATATCATAACCTTGTTCTTTCCCTCTCTTCACAGCCTGAGAAATAACTATTCAGAAAGCACTTTAAGACTATATGTCAGTAGTTATACGATGTCAATAAATTCTTATAGACAAAACAAAACTAGAAAAGGAAAGCAAATACAAGTTCATCCATCTCTTCCATTTAAGTTCTCTACCTGATGATGCTTTAGCCTTCTCTTTTTCAGCCACAACAATCTCACACCCCGTCCTCTCAGCCCATATCTCCAGCTGGTCACAGGCAGCTGCTCGAAATGTATCCCCTGCTGCCATCAACACCTGGCACAATTTCAAACCACAATGCAGTTTAGACCAGAAAAGCCAAGAAAAAGGTACGCTTTTCTTGGATCTAACCAGTCTTTCTCGTATGCTTCAAACCAATTCAGTGCTGTACTGACAATGAACAGATGAAAAATTCTCACCTTGGCCCCTTCCTTCTTCAATCTGTAAGCCAGCTTTCCTGCATGAGGATAGTTTATCAGATCATCGTCAGATTTATGGGTCCTTAACCATTATACCGCCGCATGACAATAGTTAAAAAGTATATTAAAAGAAAATACTGTAAAGCTGGATTTATATAATGGAAATGTCACTACGAATTTTTGCTTAAAATTCCCTTAAACTTAAGTTCTACTCATTTCCAGTAAAATTCCCCCAAGAATGCATGCAGTCAGATTAAATGGGTTGGATATCAAAACGTCTCTTACCAAGAGATGTTGTCTTCCCACCTCCATTAACTCCAACAATCATAACCACAGCTGGTTTCCTGATAACACAACAAAAACTCCAACATTGAACATAATATCAAAAAGAAACTTGCAAAAATTCTAAAACTCAGAAAAGGTCAGTACCTGTATCCAAGTTGAAGTTCAGTTTTGCTCCCTTTTGTAGTTAACAAATCCAGCACACTCTTCTTCAATGCTTCCTACAAACAACCCAATTCAGATACCACCACATTACATCACGTACACAAACATAAACTACGAGCACTCCATTTGATTGCTCAGAAAATTCAGGACACTCCACTTAAGCTAATTTTATTTACCTAACTATGTAGTATGGGGCTAAGTTGGGTAATTTTTGGAGCCTAAAATCATAAAATTTCTTTTCTTTTCTTTTTTTAAGGTTCAAATGCTGCCAATGTTGCTATGAACATAAAGGGCTTGTCAATTGTTACCATTACCTTTATCTCGCTTCCAGATTTCAGCTTCCCAGCTACTATGTCCTCCCTCAAACTTTCCACAATCTTAATTGTGATTTTTGGACCAAAATCCGATACCAGCAGAGCCTGAAACCGAAAACAACAGAAATAATCAGATTTTCCACGAGAGCTTTTTATTTTCTCGGAAAAAAAAAGAGGGAGAGAAGAAAAACCTCTTCGAGTTCGTCAAGGACTCGATCCGTGTCAGCGAGATTCCAGTAGAGCAAGAGCTCGTCGATGACGGCGAGATTATCCCGAGTCTTGGAGAAGCCGGAGAAGAGCTTCTCTACGTCGCTCTTGGCCTTCTCCTTGATAAGCCTTCCGAGCCGGGTGAAGAACCCGGTCTGCCCGGCCAAGCATTTGAACGGGGAAAGTTCGGGTCGGGTCGGAGCTAGCAGAAGGTGGTGGTGTTGAGGTGGTGAAGGTTTGGAGAGGAGCGAGAGACGAGGGAGGGCCGAAGGCAAAGGCGAAGCCATTGCTGCTGAGCTCTGAGAGCTGAGTATATCAGATAATGTGGAAAAGTTTGCAGCGGGTCTAATGTGTTGGCGCCTTAGACAACGACGCCGTATTGAACTCAGCTCCCAAATACAAAGTTAGGGCATGTTTGGTATCCTACTTAGATCCATTTTTTCAAGAGATTCGCATTTAATCTTAGCATGCTTTACTGGAAGAGGGATGCCAAAGTAAGCATTCCAAGTCAATATCCCTGATCAATTAACACCTGACATCTCTCAATTACTTTTCACACTTTAATTTTTTTAGTGCTGCTAAACAAATTTTAAAATTAATTGAGTACACCTTATAATTTAAATACACTCTAATATTTAAATCAAAATATAAAATTAGCATATTATAAGATTTTAAAAGACTTTAAAAATCCGAGTGTATACAATTTATATTTTCACGAACTTTAAAAATGTGTATTAAAGTTTTAGTGTATTCAATCCAGATTTATTTGAACTTTTTAATTGTCTATCTAAATATGGGTGTATTCAATTAGGACTTGGAAAAAGTCCAAATAAATTTATCTGTATTCAAAAGGTCATAGATTTGGAAGAATTTAATTTAGTGTTGGATTTTGGAGAATTTTTAGGGTTTAGGTATAAATAATAATAAAGGCCAACATAAGTTCAACCTCCACCCCAAAGATTTCATACGGTGTTTTAGGAAGAGAGTGTGACTAAAGTCTATGCAAATATATATATGAATATATAACAAAAGTTCATATAAAAGTATGGAAGTCTATAATAAAAGTCTATACAAGTTTTATAAAAATCTGGATAAAACCTAAAGGAGTTATAAAGTTCCAGGAAATCTATTATTGTCACTTAATAAAAATCTTTCAAATCCTATATAATCCTAATTCAATACATCCCTTTAAGTACACCCTATTTAACTATAAAAAATATCATTGGTACACTCTAATATTGTATTATTGACACATTTATTATTCTGACACGACACGACGGTCTTAGTTTGTTTTTTTCTTTATTATTTATTTATTTTTATCAATCTTTTTCTTTTATAAATAGACCACTCCGCTTCCAAGTCTCTCCAAACATGGTAATGAACCATTTTAATTGAAGCTCTAAATGGATTATCCAACATTTTTAGAGCCCCATTTAGGTACTATGATTGGGAATGCCCTTAAATGTGGCTTGACTAGAGTGAGTGTCATACTATTGATCTACTTGAATTAAATGTCTCTCGTTATTGAATTTTTGCACCAACAAGGGTTTTTTTTTGTTTTTTAACACCAACAACAATGGGGTGGTTTGTAGTTTTTAGCAACGAAAATTCTAAGAGCATCTCCAAGGGAGATGTCAAATATCAAACATCAAATTTAAATTTGATGGCTGATGTGGCAATTTGACATTTACATAGTTTTATACTCCACCCGATATGTCAAATAAATAATTATTGTAACAGTCAAATTATTTAAGATAAAGAAGAAAAATAATAAAAAAGGAAAATAATAAATGAAAATTACAACCAACTGTCTTTAAAAAATAATAAAATATTCATTTGACATCTTGCTTTTGGGATGTCAAAAATAACAGCTGAACCTCAAGCCTTCATTCCACATCAGCTTTGACAATTCGGTTGGAGTGATGTGAAATGTTATTTCTAACCGTTAAATGTCTATGTAGCACTTTTGACATATCGGTTGGAGATGCTCTAATATGCCCTTGGCTTTTAGCAACTTCAGGGATGTTTCTCGAACACCGACTGCCACCGCGGTTTTCGTAATTTGTCAAAAGTTATAGATAGAGTGAAGGGGACGTCAATCGAACCACGACCTTATTGCCAATCCATCCCCATCCCCACACACGTCACTTATTGATTTGCCTCCCACTCCCACTCCTTCCTACACCCCTAGCCCCTACACATCTCACGCGGCCATGTCACCTGCCTCGTCTCTGTGAAACCTGCTGTTATTGTAATCTATCTTTCCCTGCTTCTTCTCTCAGCTCTTTGTTTTCTCAACTTGTGCTTTTCATTTCTTCTGTTTGGTTGCTGAGAAAAATTAGAAATGGGTTGTTTTGTTTCTGCCCCAGAAGTGGGAAAATTGGATGAAAGAAACAGGACCCTTTCTGGGTTGGCTTCAAACAACCCATTTCTAATTTTTCGAATATTAGAAACAGGACCCTCCATGGTATTCAAAATTTCCGAATATTCATCATTTTTATATTTCATCCATTCTTCTTTCGCAACAAATAGGTCAACAAAGCTGTCCTAATGTAATGCAGTTTTTGAGTTTTGGGTCAACAAATAGGTCAAATAGGCATCTTTTGTTTTTTGTTTTTCTAAAATTTTATTCTAAATGTAAATAATGAATTTTAAATACAGCTTGTAAAAAAATTAAATTTATTTTTAAAAAATTGACGCATGGCGTATTTTGAGTGGAAGTATCACCAGCTGATGTGATGATACGGTACTACTCTATAATTTCTCCGCCCCGTCAACAGTGACCATCACCACCACCAAGATATATAATTGGATAAGAATAATAATGAAGATAGAAATTAAACATATTCTATATATCTTCATGTGAAAAATGAAATGGCCAAGAACGCGAGATGACAGATGGACACATAACATTTTGGGAGCCATACAATACAAGATGGCATGTTTAAGTGGTTCAATCGACCAACTATGACGCTATTGCATTTGGCACTATCTAGTTTTTAGATATTATCTCAAAGATTATCTTTGTAAAAAATAAGATATTTAAGGGATCCCTTGTTTACAGTAACATGTCTTTGCCTTCATGTGTAATATAAATTAGAAAAACATAGGACTTTTGATTCTCAAAGAAAAGAAATTCATGGGACGACTTGTGGCCAAAAAAATTATAACTAAATGCTTCAACGTAACGTTAATAGGGCATTAAGTTTTGTATTAATTACGTGGTGAAAAATAAAAGAAACATATGAATGAATATCAGATGAAACATATGAATGAATATCAGATGAATCATTCTAACTAAAAAAAGATTAATTAAAATTCTATTTGGATTAAGTTTTATATATTCTTTTCTGAAAAAAATGATTCGTTGAATTGAAATTAGAGATTGTATTAGGAATCTCTAAATTTATCCATCCGAATAGAATCTTATTGATGTTTTCTTTTTAACTTTGCAATATATGAAGAAAATTTTTTTTTTTTTTTTTAAAAAAAAAATAAAATTTTTTTTTTTTTTTTTTTTTTTTTTTTTTTTTTTTCTTTTAGCTATATAAATATGAACCTACGACCTGTATGTAATCTCCGATTGCTTGTTTGTGTATCCACCTTCATTTTAATTATACGGGATTTCGAGGTCGTTTCCTAGAAATTTCATCATTTTTTTCTTTTTCATTGTATAAATAAAGTACTTAAGAAAGAAAAAAAAAATTACAAATTTATAAATAAACCCAATCCTAGGCATGTATTTATAAAAAAACCCAAACACTATTTAAACATAGAAACATACCTAAAATCAATCCCAAAGTCAACAATTGTATATTTTTTGGGTGTGTTTATAAATGGATTTTGAATGTGTGTAATGATGAGTTTTTGGTGTATTTATAAAGTGTTTTGAGTGTTGGATTTTTTTATAATTTCAGCTCCTATTTTGGGTGTTTTAGTGAAATTCCCAAAAAAACATTGTGTATGGAAAGTCAAAAATAAAATAAAATTGTGTCTTAGCTGAGAGAGGGCTCTTCTTCTTCACACGTCGGATGGAAGGGTAGTTTAGTCCAAATACTCACGTGGGACTTTGAGCGTACTTATGCGGAATTGTTGGTCCACGGCCCCACCCCACCCCACCCGGTGCCCTACTGATCACTGAGCCAAAGTTAAAACAACGAAAGGCATTGGCATGTCATCAATGGGTGCTGTGTCGGTAACTGGGTGCCATGTCATCAATAGTTTGCTTTTTCCTTTATAAAAGCCCTAATAATAATCATCTTTCGTCCAAGTCTCCCCAAGCCAAACATGGCAATGAATCATTTTCAGAGTAATACTAATAATATTTTCGTGAATCATCATCAGCCCTTGTCGATCAACTACGTTCCAGCACATGAAACAAACCCTAGGATCCACCACCGCATTTTTGGCTTCACCATTCCCACAGCCATGACGCTGATCCAGGTCCGATTTCCAGACCAAGATCTCTTCCAAACCAACCCTATACTCATGCTGCTTATGCTGTGTAGCGTCGGTACCTATTCCTTGGCCTTCAGCCTCGAGCTGCTTCTCCAGAGTCTCAGTGTCACTGTCAGGGCCACTGCTCAGGCTCGCAATTGGTCCATTGCGTCTGGCTCAGTCTCACTTGCTTCAGTCTTGGGCCTTCTCTTGTCTCCACCCTCCTCCTGGCCCTGGCTGCCTCTCCTTTTGTGCTTCTTGCTGCTCACCCTGCTGGCTTTCGCCCCCAAACTGGTGCCTCTGGTGCCTCTTGTGCCTCTTGTGCCTGAACTCCTTTCTCTGTTTCGCCGCCTCCCCCACGGCCCTGTGTGGAGGCCAACACCACTATTACCACTCTAAGCAGCGAAAGTAGGATAGACGGTGTCACGGTGACTAGAATATTATAGTTTATTTTAAGAAGAAAAAGACGGTGTTTTAAAAGAAGAGAGAAGGAAACATATTATAGTTTATTGTTATGTATTTCTAAAGCTGTCTTTCCTGTGCAATTTTATGTAATTGCCCTATATTTATGTAATGAAAGTTCGTCTTTGTCTCAATAAAGAAAAAAATGGTGTTTTGTTTTTCCTTTGTTACTTTTTTTTCTTGTGGTCGAATGATTTATTTGTTTCTTGGTATCGTCATTATAGAATATAGTTTTTTGGTTTTTTTGTTCCTGTTCCCTGGACCTGAAATTGCCCTAAAATTTCAGGGAGAAAGACGTAAACAATGTGCTGCTTTTTCTCATAGGCGTGGGGGTCTCAGGCCATGTCCCAGATCAATTCGATGCTAAAAAAGATTCCTACTCTGACCTCGTTCGTGACCTCCTTGAGCCCCTACACATCTCACGCGGCCATGTCACCTGCCTTGTCTCTGTGAAACCTGCTGTTATTGTAATCTATCTTTCCCTGCTTCTTCTCTCAGCTCTTTGTTTTCTCAATTTGTGCTTTTCATTTCTTCTGTTTGGTTGCTGAGAAAAATTAGAAATGGGTTGTTTCTGCGCCAAAAGTGGGAAATTTTGAGGAAGGGAATAGGACCCTTTTTGGGTTGGCTTCAATTGAATTCAATTTTGATCGTTTCTTAATCGGGACTAAACGGAGCTGTAGCCTGCTTGGCTTAGTCCCATCGTATTAGCTTGTCTGGTTAAGACTTTCATCTTATGCAAGGCAAAGCAAGATACTTTTTTAGACCCAATTTCAAAAGTTATTAACTTTGTTAACAAATTACCACCCATTTGCTCACTGATGTTCAACTTGTATTTGAATTGAGCTATGTTCCAATTGTTCTTTTATTTCTGACTAAAGAAAAGTCTGGTGAACTTCAGGTTAATTTTCTATTTGTCTTGGAAATCTAACAAATGTAATGATGTTTTGGTCATGAATCTGCAGAATTTTTATGCAGGATTTCATGGGGGAGCTATTGCTGCTGTTGCTGAGGCTATATCCATAGCTTGTGCTAGAACACTTGTGGCTAAGGATAAGGAGATTTTTCTAGGGGAACTAAGCATCTCTTACCTCGCCAGCGCAAAAAAGAATGTGAGTCCTTCAGAATTAGACTTGTCTCCTTTAACTGTTGTTTTATCAAGTTTGATGCAGATGGAAACAAATATATTGAATGAAATGATATCAATTCCCATAAACTGTACTAAAGATTGTTTAGCTGTCTTCTTTGGACATTGAATAGTATTCTAAGACATTCTGAACGATATTGAATGACTGAAGAAAAAACTTAGGATTTAGGATTTTGTTGGCACTTAAAATTTGTAATTTGTGGACTGTGATTGTACCTTCCACTTTAGGCCCTTGCATCTTTGTTACAATGCTTTCAGACTTTGACAAATATGTCCATAAATTAAACAGATGTTCAATTTGTCATTAAATATCGGTTAGGAATTTTTCATGTAGTGTCCATTGACCAAAAAAAAATATTTCATGTAGCGTCCAGACTGAAGTTTCATATTAAGGTGGGATAAGCTAAATGGCAATTCGGCATCGACCATGACATCAGAAGAGAAATATTTATACTTTTCCCAGTGTTTTAATCCGAATGATTTCGAGTATTACATAGTTCACGCTCTTGATTGTATATAATTTGCATGGTTCACATTATTCATTTCTTTTTTTTCACTTTGCAATGGGACTTACTTACAGGCAGAGGTGATAGTTGATGCATCTGTTGTGCGAAGTGGAAGAAATCTGAGTGTGATAGCGCTAGAGTTCAAGCTCAAGAAAACTGGGGACTTGATTTACACAGCTCGTGCCACCTTCTATCACATGCCTGCTGCGAAATTATAGATTTGGACCTTAAATGTTTCTGTATTTAGGTCCACGTTCTATGGCACATCTTATTATCATTTTTTTGTGACTGCCACTCACTGGCTCGATATATTATGACAATATGTATAGTCACTTTGAAATAAGATCCTTCAATAAGAATTGTGCATCTCATCTCATCTCGTCATTATCTGGTTTAACAACTGAAAAACAGGTCCTTATTCAATGACCTTATTAGAAAATAGTTCCTAAAGTTGGATTCCAACCCGCTCGCTCCACTAGTATGAGTCAAAATTTTCTTGAGGTCTCTATAAGTTCGTCTCAAAAGATGGTATTTATTTTTTAGCAGGCCAACGCTTTAAGGTAACCAGTCCTAGTATGAAGTTCGATTATCATAGTTGCCAACTAGTTTTGGAAAATATTGTTGTTTATCGGTTGCCCATTGAAATCTCCTCATCCATCGAATCAATAAAAATAACCTCATTGAGTCCAGGGGTGGACTTGCTCTCATGCCCTTGCGTCCTGGACGACATATGAACATTATGTAAATATTTTTTCAAATTTTATTTATTCATTTGAAGCATGTGTTTTCAAATTTTATTTATTTACTTGAAAATATATGGGATTAATTCACTGCTTTTCATCCTCCCCAATCACTCTACATACAAAGATCTACACCATTTATTTGTGGGAGTGAGTGCGATCCATACTGTCCAACGGTCTTGATCTACACTGCAGCAGCCTCTAGTTATTTTTTTTGGACGAAGAACACCAAATACATACAGCTTCACATTTTGTTTTTTTGTCATAAGATTACAAGTTTCAACTCTTATTGTGCTTGCTTTTTCCTTTATAAAAAGCCTACTAATAATCATCTTCGTCCAAGTCTCCCCAACCCAAACATGGCAATGAATCATATTCAGAGTAATACTAATAATATTTTCGTGAATCATCAGCAGCTGCAGTTGTTGATCAACTACTTTCCAGCACAACAAACCATGCCCGCAGCTTCCACATGTATGATCCACCATCGCATTTTTGGCTTCACCATTCCCACAGCCATGAGGCTGGTCCAGGTGCGATTTCCAGACCAACTTCTCTTCCAAACCAACCCTATCATGCTGCTTATGTTGTGTAGCGTCATTGCTTATTCCTTGGCCTTCAGCCTCGAGCTGCTCCTCAGGGGCACTCCCCATGCTGACGTAGTGCGCCCTCGCAATTGGTCCATTGCGTCTGGCTCGGTCTCCGTCGCTTCACTCTTGAGCCTTCTCTTGTCTCCACCCTCCTCCTGGCCCTGGCTGCCTCTCCTTTTGTGCTTCTTCCTGCTCACGCTGCTGGTTTTCTCCCCCAAACTGGTGGCTCTTGTGCCTCAACTCTCTTCTCTGTGTCGCCGCCGCCAGGACCGCCTCGTGAGGAGGCCAACAACACTATTACCACTCTACGCAGCAATCGTGGGTCCCGCTATATATTAAAAAAACTATATTTCATAGTCCTCGTGCCTTAGCAAAAAGAAATAGTCCTTAAGCTTTATTTATTTAGCTGCTTATGTTATGGTCAATGTAGTAGAAGTCAATAGTGGGTCCCGTTATATATATCACGAAGCCCTCCATGATTTAATGGGTGTTCGGGTTAACATCCTAATTTTGTATTTGCGTTGGCTACTACTTTATGTTCGGGTGGCTACTTGTTCGGGTTAACATCGTAATTTTGTATTTGCGTTGGCTACTACTTTATGTTCGGGTTAACATCGTAATTTTGTATTTGCGTTGGCTACCACTTTATGTTCGGGTGGATGCTACTTGTTCGGGTTAACATCGTAATTTTGTATTGGCGTTGGCTACTTGTTAACTTTGTATTGGCGTTGGCTACTTTATGTTCGGGCCACTTCGGGTTAACATCGTAACCATGGGCTCAACAACCAGGACGTTAATGTAATGTTAAATAGCGCTCTCTGCGCTTGGCATCTCCCCACACGGATTCCAAGATAAATTTCTCTGCTCGACTCCAACACAGTTGGGAGGAGCCAAACATGGCAATGAATCATTTTTCTTATGTGAGTATGATTAATTTTCAGTTCGTGAATCATCAGCAGTTGTTGATCAACTACTTTCCAGCACAACAAACCAACCACCATCGCATTTTTGGCTTCACCATTCCCACAGCCATGGCGCTGGTCCAGGTGCGATTTCCAGGCCAACTTCTCTTCCAAACCAACCCTATACTCATGCTGCTTATGTTGTGTAGCGTCATTGCTTATTCCTTGGCCTTCAGCCTCGAGCTGCTCCTCAGGGGCACTCCCCATGCTGACGTAGTGCGCCCTCGCAATTGGTCCATTGGGTCTGGCTCGCTCTCCCTTGCTTCACTCTTGAGCCTTCTCTTGTCTCCACCCTCCTCCTGGCCCTGGCTACCTCTCCTTTTGTGCTTCTTCCTGCTCACCCTGTTGGTTTTCGCCCCCAAACTGGTGGCTCTTGTGCCTCAACTCCCTTCTCTGTTTCGCCGCCGCCACGACCGCCGCGTGAGGAGGCCAACAACACTATTACCAATCTAAGAAGCAATCATGGGTCCCGCTATATATTAAAAAAATAGAGAAGAAAAATAAGATAGACCGTTTGTTGTTAATGTATTTCCTAGGCAATTTTCTATTGCCCTATATTTATGTAACGAAAGTTCGTATTTGTCTCAACAAAGACAAAAAGGGTGTTTTGTTTTTCCTTTGTTAGTTTTTTTTTTCCTCGCGGTCGAATGATTTATTTGTTTCTTGTTATTTTCATTATAGACTACAGTTTTTTGTTGTTGAAGAATTATACAAAGTGAATGTTCCTAAAGGCCCAAATAACAACTAGTCCCTTATCTTTTCTCTTTTGTTGAAGACCTATTGAACTTCAGTGAATACAACTAGTCCCTTTTTTTCTTTTTTTTTTTAATTTTTTTTTTTTTTTTTTTTTTTTTTTTTTTTTTTTTTTTTTGTGGGTGAATTAATGATCATTTTCATTTACTTTTTAGGTTAATTCACTGATGTGATGTGATGTGTCTTTGAAGGAAACCCCTTTTTCATTTCGTTTCTTCTGCAAACTCCAGAAAGACTACATGTATAGACTGAAGCTTGCGATTGATTTTTGGTTCAGGTGGCACAACCATTTAAATCCAGATATAAAAAGAACTGCATGGACCAAAGCAGAGGAACTGACTCTCATTGAGGCCCATAAGATTTATGGGAACAAGTGGGCTGAAATAGCAAAGTTTCTTCATGGAAGGTAGAAAATTTTACTTAGCGGATTATAACTAAGGAAAGTTTCACTTTTCTTTATCAAAATGAGAAATTAAACAGCTGATAAATTATTCCCTTAGATGGAAAGGTGTTTTGATATTCTCTTTTATAGATATTTTCCTGGTAATTCTAATTGGCCAATCACATACATGTTAAGTTTGGTGCACGTGCCCTGTGATTTTCTGAGAATCATTACTAATTGCTTTGTAGGGTGTTCCTCCATAGATGCAGTATTTACTGTTTGGAGAGAGCATGTCCTCGTGCAGTTTACTAACTTTTACAGTTGTTTGTTTCATTATGTGCTTGCAAATCTAATGGTGAGTTGACATGTTGATGAATGCAGTCAATTATGTATTCTCATACTTGGTAAACACACGATATGTCAGACCTGATAACTTTAAGAGGAAACTGGCGTCGTTATATTCAGTTTGGAATATCTTTCTGTTAACTAGTTGAAGTAGATAGAGTAATAGAGAGTAATTCAGTTTTTCTCCTTTTGGGCTATGAAGGAACTTCTTTTGATGTGCAGGAGCGAAAATTCAATTAAAAACCATTGGAACTCCTCAGTGAAGAAGAAGTTAGAACTCCGTTCGTCTCATACTTCTGATATGGGCACTCAAAATATAAAATCAGAAAGCAGAAAGCGTGAGGTGGTAAAGCAAGGTCTTGATCAGAAAGCTAACATGGAAAGAAATGTGGAAACCTGTTCACTGGACCTGAATCTGGTTCTCGGAACTGCAAATAGAAGGGAAAGCCAAATGCAATCCTCTGACAAAGGAAATTGTGGGTGGCTTACAAAAGGGGCAGCTGCAAACAAAATGATGAAAACACCACCTAGAACCGTATTTTACGACAGAGCTGCAGCTGCATGTGGTCTAAATATTGAACAATGCCAAGAAACTTCTCATAACTGTGGCAGACTGATGGACTCTCATAATGTGACTGCTAATAATCATTACAACAACATTTGCAATGCTGCTCCTGATTATCTGGGTTTCCCATTTTCACATACGCGGAACCATAAACCCAGTGATCCTATCTATTTGTTGCCTTCCAGACCACTTCCTAGACCACCACAAGCCTCTTTAAATGCTGGCTTAGGTGTTCCTGGTTGTAAGAGAACAGCTGGTTATTTTATCAACAAACCAGTTCTCCCAGTTACTGCTCAGGGATTGTATGAATCCTCTAGTAGACCACAAGGTAATGTATGTTAGATTAATTATATGGGAGGATGTATTTAAGATTAAAGGTCAATCTAACAATTTCATTGTGTTAATGAAGCTTATGAGAAAAAGAAGGATGGTGGAGCTCCTGTGAATTCAAAGAATTCAAGCCATGGTCGCTTGTGCTACAGGCCATTCCAACTCGAGGATGTGGAATTTTATTTGGAAAACGGTGAATTCCCAAGTACAGATAGTTACATCCAGACAGAATGTAGTTCAGTTTCCTTTTGCACTCCAACAAGTCACGATACAAGAATTTTTGTTGATTGTAACAGTCCAGATTCCACATTGAGAAGTGCAGCGAGGACGTTTGAGAAATCTCCATCTATCATAAGAAAACGACGGCATTCAGTTTCCAGAAAAAGTGTCAATGCAGCAAATCATGGTGACAGTGTTTGCTCAAAAGAAATTAGCAATAACTCCAGAAACATCCCCCACTTGCTAGGTCTAAGTCCATGTGGTAAAACTAATTCCAGTAGCATGGTTCATTCTCCTCCAAGGTCTCAGAAGTTTGGGGATTCTGCTGTCATGAAGTCTGTAGAAAAACGCTTGGAACATGCATTTGATGTTGAATGGGATTCGGCCAGCGCCGTATCTAGGACCTTATCTCCATGAAGAGTGTCTTATCAGAATATTTTGTGCTCCATCATCAGACAGCCTTTAACTTCATGATATGTTCAGTGAGTATCACTTCTGCCAACTGTTTACATGGTATATGCTTTCAAACGTCTTAAACAAATTAAAAGAAATTGTATTTTTCAGCACTACTAAAGCTAGTTTCCTTGGGTGTGTAGGAACATGTCATGTTGGATTCTGAATGGGGTAAAATTGTAAAGAGCAGTCGTTAGCATATGCATGCAGTTTTCTAGAGAGTGATGCTGTTTATTAGATAGGTAGGTTCTGTTTTCTTGTTTGTAAGGAGGCATTGCTTAGATCTTAATTGTTACAGAAAACAGTAAAAAGTAGATTACGATACTATACGGAACATGCCAGTTGATCCAGGAAGTTGCAGAGTGTCAATTTGTCTTTTAAGGACAGCAATTAACTCATCTTTGGCTTCATTTGGTTGAAGGAGAGGTAGATGAGGAGATGACTTTAAAACCCTTTTGCCAGCTCCTTGTTCTTTTTCCTTCTATAGCTTTTCATTGGTATAAATTGCGAATGTGATTGAATTTGAGTATCTGCACATTTGAGATAAATAGGACATCATCTTTTCTGAATCATAGGGAAAATCATCCAAAGATGAGAAGAGAAGAAAAAAATTTACAAAATAAATTTATTGGTTTGCAGCATCAACTAGGGCTTTTTTTCTTCACCTGCTGCTTTGCAGTTGTATGAACTTCTATGCATCGAAATTGCAAGACTATTTAACTCCATTTTTATCTTTGATCTTTAAATTTGCTTGATCCTTTTCCTTTCTGCCCTAACTTCCTCATTTTCTCTGTCTTGCAGATCAATCATCATGTTGCAGCCAAGTATTTGACAGCACAAGTGCCCCTTCCACAATGGAGGACTTGAATTATAAATATACCATATTCTCTTTTAACGGCTGACGTTAAAAATATGTGCATAGTGGCCGCTAGTTCAAGGTTTTGGGGGACAGTGAAGCTAATTAGCCCAGTAAAAAATGCTGATATTTTTATTATCTGTCAATGTAATGCATTTTTCTTTTGTTTCACTTTGGTATAATGTTATGGACTTGGCTGGTTCATGTGTGCAAAGAGTGAAGTTGAGCTTGATATCTTTCACCTTTTGCAAGTTTGTAGACCTCAACATCTACAAGAACATATAAACGAAGTTTAAAGCTTCTGTGGCCTTTTGCTTCATACAAAATTTGATTCTGAAAAAGTTCTTGGAATTACCCGAGTAGTGAGGGAGAGTAGGAAAATGAGCTACGACTAAAATCGATAAATTTTGCCTAATATAACAAAAAATAAAACAAAATTGGGTTTGAAATAAATACATATGCATATTCTAGCATTGTTGAACTCCCAACCCAAAAAAAAAGGTTTTATATTCTTGTTCAAGAAAGAAAAAATATAAGACTCAAACTTTTACTGTCTGTACAGTATGTACGAATACAAGTATTCTACCATTAAAATTATAAGATGCAAAATAATAATAATAATAAAATTATAAGATGCAAGTATTCTACCATTAAAATTCTAATTAGAAATTTGGTTTGCGATTTGTCTCCTCCAATATTCACAGTCAATTCTTCCTGTTATGAAAATAAGAAGCCAAAAAGAAAAAGAAAAAAAAATCACCCTTTGCCCACATAAGAACAAATAAATAAATAAATATATTAAAACAGTTTGTTCCACGCAGAAACGACCAAGAGTGTTAGAATGTTTAGCGGGTGACACATACGGCATAGACGCCTTTGATTTTGAGACGTTAAAGAAGAAGACAAAGATGGCCAAACCCTCCATTGATATACCAGCGAGCTTCGCTTCCACAGCTAAAATTTCAGGGGGCATTTCTCAGAAAGACGTAAACAATGTGCTGCTTTTTCTCATAGGCGTGGGGGTCTCAGGCCATGTCCCAGATCAATTCGATGCTAAAAAAGATTCCTACTCTGACCTCGTTCGTGACCTCCTCGAGCCCCTACACATCTCACGCGGCCATGTCACCTGCCTCGTCTCTGTGAAACCTGCTGTTATTGTAATCTATCTTTCCCTGCTTCTTCTCTCAGCTCTTCGTTTTCTCAATTTGTGCTTTTCATTTCTTCTGTTTGGTTGCTGAGAAAAATTAGAAATGGGTAGTTTCTGCCCCAAAAGTGGGAAATTTTGAGGAAGGGAATAGGACCCTTTTTGGGTTGGCTTCAGTTGAATTCAATTTTGATCGTTTCTTAATCTGGGTTTGACTAAACGGAGCTGTATGTATGCCTGCTTGGCTTAGTCCCATTGTATCAGGTTGTATTTGAATTGACCTAATTTCATCTTATGCAAGGCAAAGCAAGATGCTTTTTTAGACCCAATTTCAGAAGTTATTAACTTTGTTAACAAATTACCACCCATTTGCTCACTGATGTTCAACTTGTATTTGAATTGACCTATGTTCCAATTGTTCTTTTATTTCTGACAGAAGAAATGGCTGGTGAACTTCAGGTTAATTTTCTTTTTGTTTTTGTTCATTGTCTCGGAAATCTAACAAATGTAATGGTGTTTTGTTCATGAATCTGCAGAATTTCTTTGCAGGATTTCATGGGGGAGCTGTTGCTGCTGTTGCTGAGGCTGTGTCCATAGCTTGTGCTAGAACAGTCGTGGCTAAGGATAAGGAGATTTTTCTAGGGGAACTAAGCATCTCTTACCTCGCCAGCGCAAAAAAGAATGTGAGTCCTTCAGAATTACACTTGTCTCCTTTAACTGTTGTTTTATCAAGTTTAACGCAAATGAAAACAAATATATTGAATGAAATGATATCAATCCCCATAAACTGTACTAAAGACTGTTTAGATGTCTTCTTTGGACATTGAATAGTATTCTAAGCCATTCTGAACGATATTGAATGACTAAAGAAAAACCTTAGGATTTGGCACTTAAAATTTGTAATTTGTAGACTGTGATTGTACCTTCCACTTTAGGTGATGGCACTTATGAGGGATTTGTACCTCTCTGTGCTGAAAGGCGTGCTTTTCTTGCCTCTTGCACACAAGATGTATACTTCATGTACTTGAGTCATTTCCTCTTTTTGTTAATAAACTTTATTACTAATCAAAAAAGAGATTGCTCGCTTTTCTTTAAAACCATTTTCTTAAGATGCCAGTATGGAATTGCTTTACCGCAGAATTTGATACAAACTGAAATTGGCCAAAATATGTAACATACAGGCTGAGCTAAGTTTCTGAACGTTGCAGTATATTCGAAGCCTTATTATCCTCGAGTGAATTAGGCTGGTAGTAGTTTTGAACCCCAAAAGCTCTTTTTTACAAAATAATGGCCCTTGCATCTTTGTTACAATGCTTTCAGACTTTGACAAATATGTCCATAAATTAAACAGATGTTCAATTTGTCATTAAATATCGGTTAGGAATTTTTCATGTAGTGTCCATTGACCAAAAAAAAATATTTCATGTAGCGTCCAGACTGAAGTTTCTTATTAAGGTGGGATAAGCTAAATGGCAATTCGGCATCGACCATGACATCAGAAGAGAAATATTTATACTTTTCCCAGTGTTTTAATCCGAATGATTTCGAGTATTACATAGTTCACGCTCTTGATTGTATATAATTTGCATGGTTCACATTATTCATTTCTTTTTTTCACTTTGCAATGGGACTTACTTACAGGCAGAGGTGATAGTTGATGCATCTGTTGTGCGAAGTGGAAGAAATCTGAGTGTGATAGCGCTAGAGTTCAAGCTCAAGAAAACTGGGGACTTGATTTACACAGCTCGTGCCACCTTCTATCACATGCCTGCTGCGAAATTATAGATTTGGACCTTAAATGTTTCTGTATTTAGGTCCACGTTCTATGGCACATCTTATTATCATTTTTTTGTGACTGCCACTCACTGGCTCGATATATTATGACAATATGTATAGTCACTTTGAAATAAGATCCTTCAATAAGAATTGTGCATCTCATCTCATCTCGTCATTATCTGGTTTAACAACTGAAAAACAGGTCCTTATTCAATGACCTTATTAGAAAATAGTTCCTAAAGTTGGATTCCAACCCGCTCGCTCCACTAGTATGAGTCAAAATTTTCTTGAGGTCTCTATAAGTTCGTCTCAAAAGATGGTATTTATTTTTTAGCTGGCCAACGCTTTAAGGTAACCAGTCCTAGTATGAAGTTCGATTATCATAGTTGCCAACTAGTTTTGGAAAATATTGTTGTTGATCGGTTGCCCTTTGAAATCTCCTCATCCATCAAATCGATAAAAATAAGGGAGTTTCACTAAAACACCCAAAATAGGGGCTTAAATTATAAAAAAACCCAAGCACTATTTAAACATATAAACATACCCAAAACCCATCATTACACACACTCAAAATCCATTTATAAACACACCCAAAAAGTTGACTTTATGGTTGATTTTGGGTGTGTTTCTATGTTTAAATAGTGCTTGGGTTTTTCTATAAATACATGTCTAGGATTGAGTTTATTTATAAATTTGTAACCTCATTGTTTTCAGGCCATGGCCCATCTTTTCCCTTCTCATCAACTTCCACAACATCATCTTCATCAGAAAAAAGTTCCTTGACCTTTTTAACATCTAGACAACAGAGCATAACATAACAAATTAATTATATATGTTGGAATTTTAATGAAAATAAATAATGGAGGAGTAATTGTGGCTGGCAACTTAAAACTCATTGCTCAAACATGCATTTAGCAAGGAAAACGACATATCACACTTGTCGGTGGTGACATAATTTCCATTGTGTTCTCTATGAGACGAGAGAAATGTTGAGACACTTCAATTCAGTGCAGAGCAAGCCATCAATTCAATCATAGATTTCTTACCTTTGATGAAAGCCCAGTGAGGTCTGATCATCTGAGAGTGAGAAGAGGATATGAGCGAGACTGAGGCAGTGAGATCGAGAAAGGATGGAGGAGGGCGGAGACAGTTGAGAGGATGGATGACGTTGGCACGTAAAAGTTTGGGTTGTAAATTCTGAATGATTTCTGTTACCGCATGGTTTACAAATTTTATTGTATACAGTTTACATTACAGTAGCCACATTATTTATCTATTTATTTTATTTTTCTCGTCTTTGCAACAAAACTCGCTTATAGGCAGGGGTGATAGTTGATGGTTCTGTAGTGAGGAGTGGAAGAAATCTAACTGCGATAGCAATTGAGTTCAAATTCAAACTCACGAAAACTGGGAAGTTGGCTTACACTGCTTGTGCTAACCTTCTATCACATGCCCATTCCCAAAGTATGAATCTGGAGATTTAAGAACATTTCTATAACACAATTACTATAGAATATAGGAAATGAGGTACCCAAGTAGAAACCCTAAACTTGTTGCCAGCGAAATAACTTACACTCAATCAAACCATTGGAAAGAAGCAAAGATGCAGGGATATTACACTCAAATGCATGCGTTGGAGACTTCAATAAGTTTTTCCCTTAAAAAAAATTAAAAGGACAAGAAGAATCCGTTCAATTAATCAATTGGGGTTGAAAACCACGCTTCATTCCTATACAGCAGCAACCGCCCAGCAGCTCAAGGCTTCACAACTTTGCATCAATTCTAGTCGAGTTTCATCTAACAGCAGACAGTATGCCAGTAATATCCTGATCATCTGAAGACTACATGTGTGGTTCGACGTGTGAAGTTTCATCCTGACCTCATTTTCCCCAATCAAATTAAATAGTTGCTTATATGGCTGGATAAGGACCCGCCGCCAGCACACACTATTGGGGGATTATGTAATTCTCTACAGGGAGAGAAAAGCATCTGATAAAAATCCCTAACATCTGGGATCAGAAGAACATAGTCAATTGATGTGACACTCACCATCCTTTAGGGTTACGAAAATATGGCATTAACAAAGGCCTCTGCATCAAAGGGTTGGAGGTCTTCTACACCTTCACCAACACCCACAAACTTTACAGGGATGCCAAGTTCATTTACCACACTGACCTAAAATAAAATAAGATACAATCTTAGGATTAGTGAATTATTTGAGAAAAGAAGAAGATTTGAGTCTTGGAATAGCAGAAGCTATGCCAACATATCAATTCATGAATAAATTAAAAATGATATGGGACAGAAGACTTGAACCTACCACGCAGCCACCTCTAGCAGAGCCATCAAGTTTTGTCAATATCAAACCAGTTATCCCAACAATCTGTCACAATATTTATAATGTAAAGAATCAACACACTAACAAATTTATTTGGGAGAAACAAATTGCACAAAGAAACAGAATCAATCAATAATCTATGTTCTGACAAAAGTAGAATAAACCAGGAGGAAGGATAAGAACATTACCTCATTGAATTCTCTTGCTTGCGGAAGCATGTTTAAACCTGTCGTCCCATCCAGAACTTGTAGGATCTCCTGCATATTTTTAAAAGAAAAACATTAGGCACATAAACAAAATATGGTCTCACAAGACAAAATGTAAGAATTTGGAAGAGTTACTAAATATCTCAACTAACATGATCAAAGAGAGAGACCTAAAGATCTTAAGCTACTCTTTGCAATCTTCAATGATCATATAAAAATATGGTAGTGGCAGGCATGAATAGACTGATTTACAAATCAAAGAATTGAAAGAACCAGGTGCCATTGTGTCACAATAGCATAAAATGGAGCATTTGAAATATGGAAGTATAGATTTAATGCATAGAAGTAATGACGATGCATGAGAAGATAACAGTGAAGCATGTGGCACATAAGTTCCCAACTTTCTAATCTCTAACAATATGATCCTTTCATAAAGCGTACAGTCAAATATCACCACTAACCGAAAGGCTTTAGAGCATGACATTATCAAAGAACATAGTCTACTCAGAATTATTCTGTTCAATGGGTACTGTGCATTCCCATCCTTAGATTGGCGAATTTGATAATAGAAAGATCACAAAAAGTGTCCAACAACTTACATTAGGAGCACCAGGAATGACTTTGCTCACAGCTTTCTTACATGCAATCAACTCTTCCATCAGGCTGTAATTAGTGTGCAGACCTAAAATTATAAACAAAAGGTCCAACTACAAATTAATCAGCTAAGCTTACAATGTTAACAGCTAAGCCCGGAAGGTTTTCCAACAAACTTACGTCCAGAGGTGTCACATAAGACAATATCATAACCTTGTTCTTTCCCTCTCTTCACAGCCTGAGAAATAACTATTCAGAAAGCACTTTAAGACTATATGTCAGTAGTTATACCATGTCAATTAAATTCTTATAGACAAAACAAAACTATAAAAGGAAAGCAAATACAAGTTCATCCATCTCTTCCATTTAAGTTCTCTACCTGATGATGCTTTAGCCTTCTCTTTTTCAGCCACAACAATCTCACACCCCGTCCTCTCAGCCCATATCTCCAGCTGGTCACAGGCAGCTGCTCGAAATGTATCCCCTGCTGCCATCAATACCTGGCACAATTCAAACTTCAATGCATTTTAGACCAGAAAAGCCATGAAATAGGTACGCTTTTCTTGGATCTAACCAGTCTTTCTCATATGCTTCAAACCAATTCAGTGCTGTACTGACAATGAACAGATGACAAATTCTCACCTTGGCCCCTTCCTTTTTCAATCTGTAAGCCAGCTTTCCTGCATGAAGATAAATTATCAGATCATCATCAGATTTATGGGTCCTTAACCATTATACCGCAGCATGACAATAGTTAAAAAGTATATTAAAAGAAAATACTGTAAAGCTGGATTTATATAATGGAAATGTCACTACGATTTTTTGCTTAAAATTCCCTTAAACTTAAGTTCTGCTCATTTCCAGTAAAATTCCCCCAAGAATGCATGCTGTCAGATTAAATGGGTTGGATATCAAAACGTCTCTTACCAAGAGATGTTGTCTTTCCACCTCCATTAACTCCAACAATCATAACCACAGCTGGTTTCCTGATAACACAACAAAAACTCCAACATTGAACATAATATCAAAAAGAAATTGGCAAAAATTCTAAAACTCAGAAAAGGTCAGTACCTGTATCCAAGTTGAAGTTCAGTTTTGCTCCCTTTTGTAGTTAACAAATCCAGCACACTCTTCTTCAATGCTTCCTACAAACAACCCAATTCAGATACCACCACATTACATTTCACACACACAAATATAAACTACAAGCACTCCATTTGATTGCTCAGAAAATTCAGGACACTCCACTTAAGCTAATTTTATTTACCTAACTATGTAGTATGGGGCTAAGTTGGGTAATTTTTGGAGCCTAAAATCATAAAATTTCAATTTTTTTTTAAAGGTTCAAATGCTGCCAATGTTGCTATGAACATAAAGGGCTTGTCAATTGTTACCATTACCTTTATCTCGCTTCCAGATTTCAGCTTCCCAGCTACTATGTCCTCCCTCAAACTTTCCACAATCTTAATTGTGATTTTTGGACCAAAATCTGATACCAGCAGAGCCTGAAACCGAAAACAACAGAAATAATCAGATTTTCCACGAAAGCTTTTTATTTTCTCGGAAAAAAAAAGAGGGAGAGAAGAAAAACCTCTTCGAGTTCGTCAAGGACTCGATCCGTGTCAGCGAGATTCCAGTAGAGCAAGAGCTCGTCGATGACGGCGAGATTATCCCGAGTCTTGGAGAAGCCGGAGAAGAGCTTCTCTACGTCGCTCTTGGCCTTCTCCTTGATAAGCCTTCCGAGCCGGGTGAAGAACCCGGTCTGCCCGGCCAAGCATTCGAACCGGGAAAGTTGGGGTCGGGTCGGAGCTAGCAGAAGGCGGTGGTGTTGAGGTGGTGAAGGTTTGGAAAGGAGTGAGAGACGAGGGAGGGCCGAAGGCAAAGGCGAAGCCATTGCTGTTGAGCTCTGAGAGCTGAGTATCCCAGGTATCAGATACTGAGGAAATGTTTGCAGCGGGTCTTATGTGTTGGCGCCATAGACAACGACGCCGTATTGAACTCAGCTCCCAAAAACAGAGTTAGGGCATGTTTGGTATTCTACTTAGATCCATCCTGAAAACACTTTTTTTTGGTCGAAATCCATCCTGAAAACTTAGATCCATTTTCTAAAGAGACGTTCACATTTAATCCTAGCATGTGCGGTCAATAGTTTTTCTTCGTCCAACTATTAACTAGTGTAGTGTGTTTTTTTTGTATGATCAATATTCTATTCTAAAGGGAAGGAGAGGAGAAAAACTTTCCTGGAACGGGGATGTCAAAGTAAGCATTTCACGTCAATATCCCTGATCAATTAACTCCTGACATCTGTCAATTTTACATTTTTTTTTTTTTTTTTTTTTTTTTTTTTTTTTTTTTTTTTTTTTTTTAGTTGAATTGCTAAATGAATTCTAAAAATGAGTATACCTTATAATTTTAAGTTAAATCAAAATATAAAATTAGCGTTTTATAAGATTTTAAAAGATTTTAAAAATCCAAGTGTATACAAATTAGATTTTCACGAACTTTTAAAATGTGTATTAAAGTTTGAGTGTATTCAATTCAGACTTGTTTGAACTTTTAAATTGTCCATCTAAATATGGGTGTATTTAATTAGGACTTGAAAAAAGTCCAAATAAATTTGAGTGTTGCTAAACGAACCCTAAAATTAACTAAGTACACCCTACTATCAAAGTATTTATTGAATTACTAATTTACCCTAATATAAAATGACTAAAAATGATATATTGAATTGTGAAACATAACACCACATATTTTTAGGGTGTACTCAATTAATTTTAGAATTCGTTCAGCACTCATTAAAAGCCATCTAAAACATGACACCACATATTTTTCCCTACACCTCTCTTCTTCTCCATCTTAGCATTTGGACAGCCGAACTCTTTTATCTCTCAAAACCAAGCCCAGCAGAACCTCTTCTCCTTTCAATCACTCTTCTTCTCCAAACTTATAATTTTTTCATTTTTCTCATCTTTCAATTCAGAAAATTCCTTAAAATATTTGAAGCTCCTTGTAAAACCTTGTTTTCTCCAATTTCCCTCCTCAAAAGTAGCCACACGAATCATATTGGGACTTATATCAGCAAGCAAGGCAATTAGTGGGTTTTGTTTTATTTTGTGTGTGTGTGTGTGTGGTCATGAATCAAAGATTTCACTGAAAAAAAGACAGAGACTGCAGATAGGCTAACCTTGTCAACCCCTGGCTGAGAAGGCAATCAGAGTTGTTTTTTGGTTTTAGATGTTGGATTCATTAATAATAATAAAAATCAGACGGCATGAAATATATGTTTCTTGGGAAAAAAATTTAAAACCCCGAAGCTGCAAAATTGAGTATTTTAATAAGAGTGATTCCCTTACTTAGTATGACTTATTATTTGATTTAGCATCAAGAGGAATGAAATCAAAGAATTATGTTGAACGTTTTTGTATCATTAGTTAGATTTAGGATATAATAAAAAAGAACAATATTTTCCAGATTTTACAGTTAAAATTTTTGAGAATCAAAGTATGGAGAAAAGGGGATCATAGGGAGATCGATGATTGTTGTTGGTTTTTTTTTTTTTTTTTTTTTTTTTTTTTTTTTGTTAGAGTATATATAGGGTGTATTATTGGTGTATTTTTGGTCGTTTTTTTTGGGTGTACTTAGTTAATTTTATATTTTTGATTTAAATATTAGGGTGTACTTAGATCATAGGGTGTACTCAGTTAATTTTAGGGTTCGTTTAGCAGCACTCATAAATTTACCTGTATTCAAAAGGTCATAGATTTGGAAGAATTTAATTTAGTGTTGCATTTTGGAGAATGTTTAGGGTTTAGGTATAAATAATAATAAAGGCCAACATAAGTCTAACCTCCACCTCAAAGATTTCATACGGTGTTTTAGGAAGAGAGTGTGACTAAAGTCTATGCAAATATATCTAAATCTATGACAAAAGTTCATATACAAGTATGGAAGTCTATAATAAAAGTCTATACAAGTTTTATAAAAATCCGGGTAAAACCTATAGGAGTAATAAAGTTCTAGGAAATCTGTCACTTAATAAAAATCTTTCAAATCCTATATAATCCTAATTCAATACATCCCCCTAAGTACACTATATTTAACTAAAATACCACTGGTACACTCTAATCATTGGCAGACCCAATACATGCCTACTATGGGTAGCTACCCACACTTAGGTGGTTTCTTCACCCATCTAGCCAAATACTTTGCCAATAAAATTAGACACTTGGCTAATATTTTGCATGCAAAATCCCCACTCAGCACCCTAAATAAGTAAAGCCTTCAATGTTTTAGCCCAAAACCTCTTCTATATTGAAAATCTCAAGGCCCAAGACTTAATAAATATATTGTCCAATATATAAAGCCTTAGATTTTGGCCCAAAATCATATATTAAAAATTTATTGAAATAGATTATGTGTTATAATATATATCGTATTGCTATGAAAACCTAGACTTTGTAGGAGTCAGCTATGAAATTGTTTTTTATGCCCCCATATGGAAAAAAGTCTGGGTCCTCCACCGACTCTAATACTGTATTCTTGATATATTTATTATTCCGACATGACACGAACTCAACACGACATGATGGTCTTAGTTTGCTTTTTCTTTTATTATTTATTTATTTTTATCAATCTTTTTCCTTTATAAATAGACCATTCCTCTTCCAAGTCTCCCCAAACATGGTAATGAACCATTTTCATTGAATCTCTAAATCGATCGTTATCCAACATACTTAGAGCCCCATTTAGGTATTGTGATTGGGAATGCCCTTAAATGTGGCTTGACTAGAGTGAGTGTCGTACTATTGATCTACTTGAATTAAATGTCTCATTATTGGAGTTAAGCATAAAAGACGAGTACATAAAAAACAAAACATAAGAATCCAAGAGAATTTTTGCACCAACAAAGGGGTTGGGGTTTTTGGGGTTTTTTAACTATAGGGTGGTTTGTAGTTTTTAGCAACGAAAATTCTAATATGCTCTGGGCTTTCAGCAACTTCGGGGATGTTTCTCGAACACCCACCGCCACCCGCGGTTTTCGTAATTTGCCAAAAGTTATAGATAGAGTGAAAGGAGACGTCAATCGAACCACGACCTTATTGCCAATCCATCCCCATCCCCACACACGTCACTTATTGATTTGCCTCCCACTCCCACCCCTTCCTACACCCCAGCAGCAGCAGCAGCACTTTCCATGTAAGCGCAACACCAAAATGTGTGGTGGGTCTTTATCACAAATAAAAAAGAGAGTTTCACTAAAACACCCAAAATGGGGGTTGAAATTATAAAAAAACCCAAGCACTATTTAAACATATAAACACACCCAAAACCTATCATTATATACACTCAAAACCCATTTATAAACACACCCAAAAAGTTGACTTTGGGGTTGATTTTGGGTGTATTTCTATGTTTAAATAGTGCTTGGGTTTTTTTATAAATACATGTCTAGAATTGGGTTTATTTATAAATTTGTAAATAAAAAATTGTGTGGGGTTGTTTTCATATCAATGTAGTTGTTTTCATACCAAATGTAGCCAAAAAAATAAGTCACATCCATGACATTGGTCCAGGTACGATTTCCCGACCAATTTCTCTTCCACACCAACCTATACTCACGCTGCTTATGCTGTGTAGCGTCATTACCTGTTCCTTGGCCTTCAGCCTCGGGCTGCACCTCCTCTGCGGCAGGGCAACTCCTCATGCTCGCAATTGGTCCATTGCTTCTGGCAGTACTATGAATGTTATCAAGTCTCACTCGCTTCACTCTTGGGCTTTCTCTTGTCTCCACCCTCCTCCTGGTCTTGGTTGCCTTTGCTTCTCTGTTTCTTGATGCTAACCCTGCTAGCTTTCGCACCTAAATTGAAGCCTTTTGTGCCTCAACTCTTTTCTCTGTTTCGCCGTCTCCCCACTGTGTGAGGAGGCCAACGACACTATTGAAGAAATTTTTATATGTTCCGGGTACACCATGTGTCTGGTGTACCATTCAATAAACATATGACATGTGGAATTATTGTCTAACTTACTGCATTTCTTTTTATAACATGTGGCGGGCTGCATTGCAAATATTCCATATGTCTTCCGTCTATTGGATGGTACACCAGCCACGTGGTGTACCCGGAACACCCAAAAATTACTCACATTATTGCCACTCTGAGCATCAATCGTAGGCCCGCTATATATTTAAACAATAACGCTACGGGCACCAACTTGTTTACCAATTTTTGGATACCAACACATGTGGCACATGACATGGCAACCCATGTCATTTGCCATCTCATCTATTTTAATTACATAATTTATTATATAAATAAAAGAATTTCTCACCGAAAACAAAAATAGTTAAATATAAAAAATAATTAAATTCTTTTATTTATATAATAAATTATGTAATTAAAATAGATGAGGTGGCAGATGACATAAGTTGCCATGTCATGTGCCACATGTGTTGGTATCCAAAATTTGGTAAACAAGTTCGTGCCCGTAGCATTATTGATATTTAAAATAAAAATAGGATAGACAGTGAAAGTGCTGTAAAAGAAGAGAGAAGAAAAATATTATAGTTTATTTATTGTTATGTATTTTTAAATGGGAGATTCACCATAATACCCAATATAGGAGCTCAAATTATAAAAATAAACATATATGAAATGAACTTTTGAAACACACCCAAAGCTCATTTACAATATAACAAAAATGCTTTTAACTTCTTTTAAATTATAAAACTACCATTGATTTCTTAAAACAAACCCAACCCCAAAACTTCATATAAAAAAAAGCCTAAAACACTCAATGGGGTATCAAAATAATTTAATAATAAAAATTAAATTCAATAGGGTCAATTGTCATTTTTTAAGTTTGTTTATAGAAATTAAATGGTGTGGGATTTATTTAATGCTAACTATTTTTTATTATTGCTTTTGTGTCTACACTTATTCAAAAATTGAATTAAATTTTATTAAAAATATTTATGACTTTTTAAACTATGAAGTATAGTTAGAGCATCCACAGTGGGGGGGTGTATGTTAAATATACACCTCTTGTCTCCGGAATCGTCTCTAATGTGGAGATGTAAAGGGATGTAAATATACATCACCATAATGAGGATGTAAAATAAAATGTATATTTACATCTATTTTTACATCCCTTGCAGGCGGGACCCACCCAAGAAAAATGAAGAAAAATGAAGAAAAGTCAGCATAAAAGGCTGGGACCCATGGCTACAGTAATTACTGGAAAAAAAAATTCACATGTTGTTTGCTCATTTGTGATTTTCATGCTCCCCCAATGTTTTTGGATGAAATCATATCTTCTCCGAATTTAAATATTTTTACGTATATTTGTTTGAAAATTTTAAATTAATCTAATACAAAAAAAAATTAATTTTATAAAGTAAACATAAAATACAAATTTAACACAAAAACGAATTAAGACAAACAAAACAATTATACATCTTAGATTTACATCTTTTCCCATTGGAGCAAAAAACGTATTTACACCCCTTGGAGGTGTAAAGGGGATGTAAAAGTGGCTTTACACCCCCGAATTTACACCCCCCCTCCCCCCATTGTGGATGCTCTTAGAGTTGAAATTTTATAGATAGCTCCTAAAATAGCTTTCTAGCATTTTTATCTAAATTTTAATTAAAAAATAGAGAGCATGATTGTGGATGCTCTAAGTGGTAGGAAACCGTACTTTTGTATTGGCGACATGGGTTAACATCGTAATTTTGTAGGTTGTCATGGGTTAACATCGTAATTTTGTAGGTTATCATGGGTTAGCATCGTAATTTTGTATTGGGGTTGGCGACGTTGGCATTGGTGACCATCGTAATTTTGTATGGGGAATGCTACTATGCTAGCAATCTTTTCTCTAACCTTCTCCTTTGGACCTTCTCCCTTTCTCTCATGGAGTTTTTATCAAAAATAGTCAAAATTTACCTCCTACTTTCATAAATGTCAGTTTTGTAAAAAACTTTCAAAAATAACCAAAAATCCACTTAAATAGACTCAAATGCCCTTAAAACTAAAACCACATAAATCTAAAATGCAAAACCCTACTAGATAAAAATTTAGAATTTAGTAGGCACGTTTGCAGCACTAGTCAAACTCCCTGTACTATAAGTGCCGTTACTTATATTTTGTGTGTGTTTCCCTTGCTTCTTTGTTCGGTCTACTAGTTTTTTTAATAAACATATGCAGGGCCAAGCATGGTCGTGGCTCATGGATCTTAACAGTCCACAACATATATATACAAGTTTTGATCCTTAACTATCTAGTTATATGCTTATAATAATTTGGACCTGTTTATGAAGTGAGTCATACATACATGATATGATACTGCATAATGTCATCTTAAATATTGCAATATCAGATTTGTATCTGTTCATCCCTTTACTGGACAACATGGTTCTTTTTCTTATTTTTACTGGAATCCATCATGCTTCTTTAATGTTCATGATGGAAGAATTTTTATTTTAATTTAAAAAAAACTTATATTCTCTCATAAACTTTGCACAACCAAGATGGGCTTGAGGAAACAGCTACTTTGACTTGAATATAAGTGTGTATTGTATGTGATCAGTGTTCTACATGGAGATGGAGGAGGGGGCTGCCTCTGGGCTTAGGACGTGAGTGATGGAATGGATAGTTAGAAGATGGAAGCGGGATCCACAATTGCAATTTCCTTTTCCTAATGTTTCCCGAATTTGTCCAAAAATATATATATAATCAAATAATAGTAGTTTTAACTTTTATGTAGGTTTTAGTTTTGAGGGCATTTGAGTATATTTAAGTGGGTTTTTGGCTATTTTTGAAAGTTTTTTACAAAACTGACATTTATGAAAGTATGGGGTAAATTTCGGTTATTTTTTATAAAAACTCTCTCTCATGACATGTGTCATTTTTTTTACACTTAAAACAATGTCATTAATACATCAAACAACCTAACATTTGTTTTTCATATTTACCCTTATTTGATGTATTGACTTTACTTTAATTTATTAATTTTTTTTACAGCTTTCTTAATAACTTGTAAAAAATTATTATATTAATTTATTAAATATATAATAATAATAAATAAAATAAAATAATAATAAATAAAAACCTATCTCAAGTCGTCCCCACCTTTTTCCCCAAAGCCCAGCACCTCCATCTTCCCCACCATCTCATTAGCGCCACCCATCTCCACCCTACCTTCTCCTCACCACCTCCCCATACTCTCTTCCTTCTCTCTCCCTCTTTTTCTCTCTTCCCCCAATCTCTCTTCAAACAAAACCAAGCCCCTGCAAGTTTTGGTTACGGTAAGAAGACCCTCAAGGCCACGACAAGCATTGGTCATTATACTAAATTTGGGTTTGAGGACCATTACCAAGCACCAACAACAACAGCCCAGCCCAAATTTAAAAATCTCACCTTAAAGTTGCAAACTTTAATATGAGAAATAAACAAAATGATTTTGATGGATTTTAATTTTGATTTTTGTTGTGGGAGATGTCATGTTGTTTCAGGTGTGAAGGTCTTGCCCTCTCAAAATGATAATAGAGGGTTGGATTTGGGGCTGCAAATCTATGATTATTCGAAGAGAGAGAAAGTTGTAAAAAAAATTTGAATGAATTGAAGTAAACATTAAAGTCAATACATCAAAGAAGGGTAAATATGGAAAACAAAAAGAAGGTTGTTTGATGTATTAATGACATTGTTTTAAGTGTAAAAAAAATGACACATGTCATGAGGGAAAGGAAGAAGGTCCAAATGAGAAGATTAGAGAGAATGTTGCTAGCATTCCCCATTTTGTATTGGCGTTGGCTACTTCGTGTTGGCTTCTTGGGTTAACTTGTATTGGTTGACTACTTGTTATTGGCGACTTGGATCAACATCGTAATTTTGTATTGGGATTGGCAACATCGGCGTTGGTGACTTTGACGTTGGCGGATTGGGTTAACATCGTAATTTTGTATTGGGATTGGTGACATCGGTGTTGGTGACTTTGACGTTGGCGACTTGGGTTAACATCGTAATTTTGTATTGGCGTTGGCGATATGGGTTAACAAGTAAGGGGTAGGAAATTGTAATTTTGGCAGAAATCGTAATTTTGTATTGGCGACATGGGTTGACAACCAAAACAAAATTACTGTGGCAGAAATCGTAATTTTGTAGCGGTGCCATGGGTTAACAAGTGTAGGGATGGGGCAACAACCAGGACGTTAATCTATATATATATAAAGCAAAATGCAGAGAATGGTAAAACATTCAAAATACTAGAAAATGCCCTTGATTAATTCAAACATTAAGAATTGAAATTATTAATTAAATGATGATAATATGGTAAATTCACATTTTTCTTATTAAAAAAATTAAAAACAAAATCAGATAAAAGGTCATACTTTTATAGAACATAACTACCCATGTTATATTTTCTTAATTCTAAAAATAAAAGAAAAAAGAAAAAAGAAAACCAATTAGCACATGCGTGAGCATGTGCCAAAAGGCTAGTGTAATGTTAAAGGATATTTTTTAAAACTTCATTTGATTGGTTGCTTTTATTTTTTTATTTTTTATATTGATGGACCGCTAATGATGGACTACTAATGCTAGTCATTTTTCGTTTGCTCCTAGACCAAAAAAATGGTCGTTTTCTTCTTGTAAAGCAAAACCATTGGGTCTTTTACATATGAACACATCTTTTCTAACAAAGGGGGCCATAAGCAATATTATATATACTTCCTAAATCAGTAGAAAGCAAAGACCAAATATTAAATTGTGTTAAAATTTTGGGAGAGCCCAGAACCCTTCAGGCCTTAATAAGCCTCCGCCCCAAAGAATCATTTTCAGAGTAATCCTAAAAACAAAAAACTATAGTCTATAATGACAATACCAAGAAACAAATAGTGTAAGAATATTGGGATTCAAACTAGTTTCTTTACTTTATAAGCCATTTCACTTCCAATCTAATAGGGATTTATTACATATTGAGAAAACCCTATTGGAGGCAAGGGTCCATGCCTGTTTCATGTCATGGTTTCTACATTGTGTTTATATATATATCTCTCTCTACTAATTCAGTTTACTTGTGATATACCTAACAAGTTAACATAAGCAAATAACTAACCACATATGAGCGCTGGCTCTTCGATTTTGTTTTTAACATTTATGCAGCCATGATTAAGACTTTAAGCCAAACAATTATATCTAATACTTGCTGCTGCTGATGATGAAACTCCTGATGTAGAATGTCCCAAGCACCTTTTGAGGTTTCTTCATTCGAAATTTTGGGGAAAATGTCATCTGAGACAGCCCCTTGAATAATACCCAGTGCCTTAGCGTCCTTCATTAACAAAGTTTCTTTCTCTGATTCTGACGACCCTTCTGCCTCAATCTTCTTTCCTTTCGATTATGAGATTCCAAGTCCCTTTTCAACTAAATCCCAGAGTCCGTGTGATTTGAAGATGGTTCTCATCCGGATCTTCCAGAATTCATAGTTGTCACCATTGAATATTGGAGCCCGAAGATCACCACCACTTGACCCAGCCATTTGAGATATGAATCAATGAAATGAGTCTGAAATTTCATGTTGGATTTCAAAGCTCAGCTCCGACGCCTATTTCCAGATCCAACCTTCACTCTTGATACCATGTTGAGATTTGGATTTGGATTATCAAAGGAGCTCAGGATTTAGAGAGAGTGAGAGAGGTAGCTAGGAGAAACAGAATTTTGGAAAAGTTCTCTGGTGTGATCTGCTAAACCATGGTAGAGATCACGCCCTTTTTGTATTCATTCTAATTCTTTCATTTACATCAGCCAATCATTACCATTGTGAATGTGACACATGGCAGTACAAGGTCTAAAAGCCGTTGGACACTAACTGACTGTTTTACACCTTACACTTGGCATATGAGCTCAAGTCACTTAACTAACATAATGCTTAATGAAGCTAAGAGTAAAAGCAGACTAAGTAAATTACTAACTAACAAGAAATTAGCTAGTCAATTTACATTCAACAGTGAGATCGACAGAGGATGGAGAATGGCGGAGAGAGTTGAGAGAGCAAAAGAGAGTTGAGAGGATGGATGGATGTTGGCTCTTAAAAGTTTTTTTTGGGTCTAAATTGGCTCTTAAAAGTTTGGGTTGTAAATTCTGAATGATTTCTGTTACTGCATGGTTTACAAAGTTTATTGTATATAGTTTCATTACATTGGCCACATTATTTATTTATTTATTTTATTTTTCTCGTCTTTGCAACAAAACTCGCTTATAGGCAGGGGTGATAGTTGATGGTTCTGTAGTGAGGAGTGGAAGAAACCTCACTGCGATAGCAATTGAGTTCAAATTCAAACTCACGAAAACTGGGAACTTGGCTTACACCGCTTGTGCTAACCTTCTATCACATGCTCGTTGCCAAAGTAGGAATCTAGAGATCAAGAACTTTTCTATAACACAATTATGATAGAATATAGGAAATGAGTTACCCAAGTAGAAACCCTTGTTGCCAGTGAAATAACTTATGTTTACACCATAATTAACCGAGTATATCCAGCATCAAAGCAACTAGCACCAAGAGCATCAACACCATGACACGTGTCACCACCACAACGACTTGCAAGAGTCCCACATCGAAATTATATGCAGACCTTCCACTTTCACCTCCTTATAAATAGGGAGTAGTATCATGTGAAAAGGGGACTTCTTCTCTCCACTTAGAGGAGGATCCGGGTCTCAGAGCTAGACCCTAGGGCCGGGGACTCTCTTCTAGATCCCTAGCCTGGGCATCTCACTTGTCATCTTTATATTCGGGTCCAACCCCATGTACAAATGTAATCATACACTATTATAATGAGAACATACTTCTCCGTGGACGTAGCCCATTCATTAAGGGTGAACCACGTATATCTTGTCTTCTTTACATTTATCGCTTGCCCAAGTCTTTACACACATGCTTAAGGTTCTCACCTTCATTCATCATCCATCACACCTCATCACTAAGTTGGACTCAATCTTGGCCTAACCATTTTGAGCATCAACAGTTTGGCGCCGTCTGTGGGAATTGATACAAAAGGCTTATGTCGTTCTCCTCTTCCTCAGTGCCCTTCGGCACCCATACAATCTTCATCATATAGCTTGTGCGATGCCTTCAGCACCCAGCCATCAACTGGCGCGAGCGATGCCTTAGGCACCCAGCCATCAACCGGCGTTGCTGCTCATGCCTAGCCACAATGCCTTGTCACAATGCAAGCTTTGTGTTGCCTTCGGCACCTCCATGCCTAGCCACATTGCCTTGTAACAAGCGAGCTTTGTGTTGCCTCCGGCACCCTCATGCCTAATCACATCGCCTTGCGACATGCGAGCCTTGTGTCGCCTTCGGCACCATCGTGCCTAGCCACATCGCTCTGCAACACGCAAGTTTTGTGTTGTACTCGACACCCCCATGCCTAGCCACACCTTGTGTCGCCTTCAGCACCATCGTGCCTAGCCACATCGTCTTGCGACATGCAAGCTTTGTGTTGCCTTCGGCACCCCCCGTGCCTAGCCACATTGCCTTGCGACATGCAAGCTTTGTGTTGCCTTCGGCACTTCGTGTCCAGCCACATCACCTTGCAACATGCAAGCTTTACGCTTTCGGCACCCCCATACCTAGCCACATCGCTCCGCGACATGCAAGCTGTGTTATCTTTGGCACCCTCGTGCCTAGACACATTGCCTTGCGGCATGCGAGCTTTGTGTTGCCTTCGGTACCTTCGTGCCCAGCCACATCACCTTGCAACATGCAAGCTTTACGCTTTCGGCACCCACATGCCTGGCCATATCGCTCTGCGACACGCAAGCTGTGTTATCTTCGACACACTCGTGCTTAGGCCCATTGCCTTGCGACATACAACTTTGCGCCTTCGACAACCCCTTCACCTTCGTGCCAAGTTATCTCCCTTCCAAATGTCCTTCTTACCCGGGGACTTGAGGGACTACGAGTAGTGCACTATACGGCTTGGAAGATGAACTATGGTATTGCTCGCGAACAGCCAAGCTTCAATTGTCCAGCCCCCTGCCCAGCTTCAAATGTCAAGAACCACCTCAGCTACAAGAGCCAAAAAGGCCCAACCACCATTTCAATCCAATGGGAAGCCCACGTGGTTATTATTACTCACATGGCTTGCATGGTTACATTTGTTTGCATGGCTTACTTGGTTATTATTATTTGCATGATTGAAGACAACTAGCTGAAAGTCTGGAGCAATTTAAATGGCCAAGCCATATGGCATCTAGCCACTAAGCTTATCAAGACACCCAATGGGAAGGCAAGCATCAACTACTTGACTGTCAAAATCCATGCTCGGACAAAGGAACAACACCTCAGCTACAAAAAAAAATATAGGCACTTGGAAAAATTTCTCAGGGCACCCAAGGACACCGAATGGCAGCCACACTCCACTTTCTCCGAAAGCTTCAGATCAGCAACTCTAGGAGCAGCTCCAGAAGGCACCCAAAGAGCCTAGAGAGACCACCATCTCCATGCCATTCGACCAGCTAACGAATGACACATCATGCCCATACCTCTGGTCGCCGAAGGCCAAACCAAAGTTGTTGTAGCTGTGTCACCGAACTAGTGCAATCCTGGTGCTCAGCCTTCAAAAAAAAAAATCTGTCAAAGTCACTTGGCATGGCGAAAGGAGCAGACCCAACTTCAATATAAAGTTGTCTTCTCTGTGCAAAAAGATAAGACTTTTATCTTTGTCCATTATCACCTAGAACAACTAGAATAATGCAAGCACCATTATTATTTTTATGAACGTGTTGACTCACCACAAGTGCAGCCCACCACCCCATTATTATATTTGTTCGTCTTTTACATGCTTTTCACCATATTGGTAAATGCATGTCTACAACAAATGAGCTTCAGCAGCTTCAAAATTCAACGGCACTCCAGGAAACCAAGTGGCACTCATGCTGAAATTCCTCAAGACATCCGAACTTGCTGGAGCTAACACATCATCACAATCCCAACTCACCTTGCTGAACGGCAGAGGCTGGAAAAATTGAGAAGAGAGCATGAAAACCTTCAGAGGGCCTAAGCTCCAAAATTTCAGCCCCTATGCTCCCAGCTCCTAGCGACCCGCACCCAGCGACCCGGCCTTAAGGGTACCGACCCGTGCTACAGCTCCAAATGACCCAGCTACTCAGATACGTGGCCAATACTCGAACCTACCGAAGCGTACCCAAGTCACAGCTCACAAAAACACTTCAGAAAATTCAAAATTTTCTCTAGGCACCCACCAAAAGGCCCAGCTCCTATCAAGGCACCCTCAAGTACTCAGCTTGCCGAATGGCCTAGCCACCAAATCCCACCTTCAGGTCACGCACGGACTGGCCTAGCCCAAATAGCCCGGCTCAAAGCTCACTCAAGCTAAAACTTCAGCACATGTCAAAGACCCAGCTCCAAGGGCCCGGCCACCACAGCATAGCTCTTTGCCAAACAAAATCCCACCTGCTGAACCGCAAAACAACGAAACAAAAGTCAAAAAATATGTTCAAGACACCCAGGGCTGAGCAAAAGGAAAATAGCCTCCAAAAATCCAACTCACCAAAGCTCAAAAGGCTCCGCTCCGGGAAGCTTCTCAAACAAATCTCCACCTTACCGAAGCCGTGACTGGGCACCTCTCAAACTCCTGACGCCTAGCCTTCAAACTGAAGCGGTAAAGCCCCAAACTCTCTATTACCGATGGTTCATGCGCCAGAAGGGCCCGGACCCAAGTAAGGGCCGAAACCAGCTCCTTGCCGATTCTGCCCCTTACTGAACACAAACCTGCAAAAAACTCTCATGGTCTCAGCCCATTTGCTGAAGGTATACGCAACAACACAGATGCTATTTTCAAAAAAAAAAGAAAAAAAAAGAAAAGAAAAGATAGAGGAGCTGGCCTTGCCGAACGGCAAGGCCCATGAAGATTTCTGGGGAAGCCTTACAACGTCACGGCCCTAGGAATCTCCAAGCCTAGCTTGCCGAACCAAGACCTCAAGAAATCTCCAAGATTGCCTAACTCATTGCCGAAAGCTGCTCCCTACCAAAGCTTTGGATGGTTGTTCCAAACGCCAAATAGCAAGGATACAAGCCACCTCAGCTCTACCAAGAGCCCAGGCTCTGATACTACCTCAGCTCCGGCCTAATATTCACCAAGCTCCAATTTCCACCTCCAACCTGCCGAATGTAAACACACGCCAAGTCCTCGAGCCCAGACCAAAATCGCCAAGACTTGCCGAACGTGGGTACCTGCCGCCTAAAAATCTTCCTCCTAGCAGCTCTCTCGAAGCCCATGCCACATGGCCATTCAAAAAAAAATAAAAAAATAAAAAAAGAAAGAGGCCAGCCTCCTTGCCGAAGGTTCAGCAAGACCCCAGTTCTGTTTTTCGCCTCATGAAGCTCGGCGCACGGCAAGGGTCATGCTAACCTTTTTTGGGCCCATTCTTCCTCATCTCAATTTCCTTGCTAAAGCCCAGCTTCTCCGGAGGGCCCAGCTCACAGCCACCATGCCATTTCCAAAGCTCATCTATGGCTCAGCCCAGCTTGGGAAATTCACTGCTCCAAGGCACCCTTCTCTTTGGTGCAAATAGCCAGCCCCGTTGACGAACGCTAAGACCAAGCCACAGTCCCAGCTCCAATATAACACATGCCGAAGGTGTGAACAACACAAAATGAAAAAGATCCTCAGATTATATCCCAACGGGCCCTGCCGAACGGCCGGTCCCGTGCAGAATCAAACGGGAGGCTTCCCAAAAAATCTCTCATCTTGTCCAAACTCCACGATGCTGGGTAAATCTTCCCAAAACTCCAAGCTCAATCAAGCTAAGACTCCTGCCGAACCCAACAACTACGGTTTTTGCCCAAGCTCTCCAGCAGCTACGGTTTCCTAAGCCTCTTGCCAACCGGAAAAGGCCCCGCCAACTTTCCTGATAATCACCAAGGCCACCACAGAAACTACAACAGGTTTCATTCAACTCTTGCCGTTCGGCAAGGGTCGTGCAAACGACGGAAGACTCCTCGACGAACGAAACCAAGTACGGCAACAGCAGCCTAGCTCTCACCAAAACTCCCGAGTCCCAGCCCGTGCGCACAAGATCTCAGCCAACTTGCCAACACCAACCCAAACTCGGAGTTGCCGAACCAGAAACCCCTCGGAAGTGCAACTGCTGAAATACCCAGCCCCACTCTCTTTCCTGCCGAACGTGAATGAGCCCAGCCCCTCTTCCAAGGTTTCCGAACGGCAAGTTCTAGAAAAATAAAGGAGGCACACCAATCCTCATCTAAACCTAGCACCTTACTCTAACCAAGGCCTCACAACTAAACTCACGGGCCCAGCCCTTTTTATTTTTTATTTTTTATGCCGAAGTCCCATATGCAGATCTGCAAACCCGCTAAAATGTTGAAGGCCCAACTCCAAAACCGGTGCTCACTAAAGGGCCACAACAAACTCAAGATGTGCTCATGATCTCTCACGGACCCAGCCCCATTATTTCGTCAGGCGTCTCTCTACCGAAAGCTATTAAAGCCCATACCACATGGCCCGAAAAAAAAAAAAAAAAAAAAAAAAAAAAAAAAAAAAAAAAAAAAATCGCAAGGAGGTATTGAAACAAGAAAAAGAAACATCACACACATTTCTCCCCTTGTGGAAGGGCCAGCTTCAATACATTGACTAAGATTCATTGGGTCCAGCCCACCTTAGCCTTAGCCAAAGCCCCATGGACCCAATGTCCAACATGTAAAGCAGTGGCAAAAATACATGTGGCAAAAATCGTAATTTTGTAATGACCAACGTCTTCACAGTAACGTCAGCAACGTCCAGCATGTAAAGTAGCCAAAAAGCAGTGGCAAAAATCGTCAACAAAGTCGTGGCTATCGAGTGGCAGAAATCGTAATTTTTCGCATGGCTATGGGTTAAACTTAACAAGTAGGTGGGGTTAATAGTGAACGACCCTGAATGTCTACCGGCAGGCCTTTGAAACTTACCACACACACACACCCAAAGAAAAATTTCTCCGCCCCACTTCAAGCCAAACATGGCAATGAATCATTTTTCTTATGTGAGGATGATTAATTTTCAGTTCGTGAATCATCAGCCGTTGTTGATCAACTACTTTCCAGCACAACAAACCAACCCTATGATCCACCATCGCATTTTTGGCTTCACCATTCCCACAGCCATGGCGCTGGTCCAGGTGCGATTTCCAGACCAACTTCTCTTCCAAACCAACCCTATACTCATGCTGCTTATGTTGTGTAGCGTCATTGCTTATTCCTTGGCCTTCATCCTCGAGCTGCTCCTCAGGGACACTCCCCATGCTGAAGCAGTCCGCCCTCGCACTTGGTCCATTGCGTCTGGCTCGCTCTCCCTCGCTTCACTCTTGAGCCTTCTCTTGCCTCCACCCTCCTCCTGGCCCTGGCTGCCTCTCTTTTTGTGCTTCTTCCTGCTCACCCTGCTGGTTTTCGCCCCCAAACTGGTGGCTCTTGTGCCTCAACTCCCTTCTCTGTTTCGCCGCCGCCACGACCGCCGCGTGAGGAGGCCAACAACACTATTACCACTCTAAGCAGCAATCGTGGGTCCCGCTATATATTAAAAAATAGAGAACAAAAATAAGAAAGACCGTTTATTGTTAATGTATTTCCTGGACAATTTTGTATTGCCCTATATTTATGTAATGAAAGTTCGTCTAATGGAAGATTTGTGCTGGTGGTTTGCTAAGGGACTCTAATGGAGCATGGATCTGTGGGTTCTCTGCCAATATTGGGATTGGAGTCTCTTTAAATGTTTTGTTTTTCCTTTGTTAGTTTTTTTTTCTCGTGGTCGAATGATTTATTTGTTTCTTGGTATTGTCATTATAGACTATAGTTTTTGGTTTTTGGTTTTGAAGAATTATAGACTAGTTAATCTCAAGAAACTTTACAATTTTACAAAGAGAATGTTTTCCTGAAGCCACCATTTCATCCCATTTACACAAGCCCAAACGACCCATCAATATTTAGAGGCAACCGCAACAAAGGCCCATTTAGTTATTGGTAAACTCAGCAGAAAGGAAAAGGACAAAATGGTCCCTCTCTCTCCTCCAACGACTTTCCTCAAGTATTGTATCAAAACTTTCAGGAACATTCAGAACCCCCCCCCAAAAAAAAAAAAAAAAAAAAAAAAAAAAAAAAAAAAACATTTTGTCAGGACACTCAACATCTGGTCACTCTACTCTCTATACTTCTTCTATACACAAGTGCTTCCCTTCAATTTATCTTCTGTTTTTGGGTCAAATTTTTTATTTTTTATTTTTTCACCAGGGATTCAAAGATGGGATGTCTCGAATTTGAATCTGGGATTTGAAACGTTGAGGCATTCTTCAGGTATTTCTGTATTCTCGAGAGGTTTGAAGCTGGGTTTGCAGGCTTGGTGTTCTTGAAATGTTCTGCCATTCAGGGTTCTTTAGTGTAAGAATATTGGGATTCAAACTTGTTTCTTTACTTTATTCACTTCCAATCTAATAGGGACTGAAAACTGGTGGAATTTCTCCTTTCTAATCACTTATTTGCTGCAGGCTTATGATTATATATCACTAGTTTTGTACTTCTCTGTTTGGTAGAGATGAATATTATGCTCAGCTAGCTTCATAACTCTGAGACCACCTTTTGCCATTTGCCTAGGTTATTTTCTAAAGTTGAAGTTTTTAACCTGGATTCACCAAATCTTGATGGATCCCTGTTCTTTTTCTTTGTTTTTAAATTGTTAGTGTAACATGATGTGCTTCAATTTATCTTCTTTTTTTGGGTCAAAATTTTGATTTTTGATTTTTGATTT